TCTCCAAGGATCTCAAGGAAGGAACAACCCTGGCCGTCCACCATGCAGGTGTACGTCGCCACCGTCTCGGCCTTGGATACGGCCAATGCTGCCACAGCCGTGCCCCAAGGCAACCTTGGTACATATAGGCGAACCAATTTGAGTGCGAGGACTGTTCCGAAGGGGCGGAAATAGCTTCGTGGATGACTTCCCGGCCTGTGCCCTAAATGACGACCTCGTCGCTGTCGGCTTTGACAAGGAAATCAGGAGAACCTAACTCTGGAGGCTGAGTGACTGGGTCGCCCAAGCTGGCGGTCACAGCTGCTAAGCAATTGGTTCTTCTATCAAGGAGAGGGTTCGTTGGTAAAGGAAAATTTAGAGGACCGCACTCGCGCGCAAGGCTTGGAGCGATAATGCAACAGAATGAGTCAGAGACACGGCAACATATGACCACCCACTAGGAATCTGAGGAATCTTGCTATACCAACCCAACGCTAAAAGGGGCCTCTCACCTGTTGGGCTGTTTGGGCTAATGGATCGCATAGTTCATGATCAGGATAGTCATAATTTGCCATGGATAGCATGTTTAACATCCGTGGTGCTGTGTCTCACAAGCGCACCTATGGCGTCCACGCTGTCGATGAGCCTAAATACGGGAGACGAGGCAGCTGGCAAAGATCCCATTCCTTCTGTAAGGCTGCAGCCACAAAGCCTATGGGCTAAATGATAGTTCAGTGTCTACGGCAATGAATGAATGCATAATGTTTTAACGGTCGCTAGCAAGGAATGAGTTGAAAGATGCGAAGGTGTTAGAAACATCGACCATGGGTCGTCTGCCTGTATTTTATTGACTTTCTACTTGTTGATACTTTATAAATGCTCCCAGGACAGAAGAATACGAGAGCACAGACGACAGGACAGGTGCACGCATTGGTATTGTTGAACTCGCATATGCACTATGCAGGGTAGTTCGATGTGCGGGGAACCCCTCAATGGAAGATGAGTGGGTAACTCGACCCCGACAAATCGGAAAAAAGGACCAACAAGCTAACTTGGAGGAATAGTGAAGACCAGGCGTCAGCCACTTGTACCACGTTTGACACATTCCAGACTCTTTGATCGATTATCGCTGCACACGTGCGGACCATGGGCTTGCACCAGTTTTCGAAGGAAAAGTCAAATGGCGGGGGTAAGCCAAATGGTAGGTGCGCGTTCAACAGTTGACCGCTATTGGGGCGACAGTGCGCCGACATGTGTCATGAACCAACAGCCACATACTCATCAAACGGCAAGAGTCATTCGTGATCAAGAAACCCGATGGACGCTGCAGGAAATCGGGTAGGTTTACTCACGTATTCCTCTGTCGCCGCAGCGAAGCAACATCCTAGTTCACAGGTGTGATAGTGAAAGCACAGCGTTACGGCAACCGCAACGAACAGGCCAAGGCAAGCAACATCAATGTACCAGGACTCGGCACTTTTTTGTTATGTGGGTCCTTGAGGCTCGAGACCTCGACAAATTGGCCTTGGGCTTCCCCTCACGGCTGGGATGCCGGTTGGGGACTGGTGCGGCGTCTCCAACACGACGAGGCCAAGCAGGGAAATTTTCCGAAACAACCGCAGGGTCGCCCGAGTCCGCCAGTATGGTCGACTGATTTGGACGGCTTGAATTGCGTGGCCCGTCGAGACTCGATACCATCATGGTCAAGGAGCTGACGCAAGTAGCGCGATGGTGGCTGCCGGCACAGGAATGAAGGATTTATTAAGGAACCAGCAGTCAGAATGCCAGGAATTTCGAGGCTACGCACGGTTGATGGAGGCATGTGCCGTGATCCGAGTCTCGTGTTTTTTTCGGTGCATTCTGGGGCGAGTTCGTAGCAGCCTAGAGTCCAGACGAGGCAGGCAAGTGCCGCAAACCGGGGCAAAGCTCACCGGGCAAGGATGCAGCCATGCAAGCGGCGTAGTCTCGCCGTGAAGGCGCCGTCCGACGTGGCACGATTAGCGCTCTGGGGGCCATGGAGACTCCAGATAATACTACCCAGTAATTATCGGGACGGGCGGCCGGGGTAGACCTGCGGGGGACGATCGGGGGGCTCTGGATGCCCACTGCTCACTGCCAGCCAGCCAGTCAGCAGGCTTGGGGAGTGATAGGGGCCGCTTCAGTGCCTGGGGAAAGTGCCGCTATACGTGTTTAGGCTAAGGTCAGCAGCTTGCATCGACGGTGATTGGCCAGGGTCCAGCCAAGCTGCCGCCTGTGATAGGCGCGTCTAACACGGCGATGCGAACCCCAGATCCTGTTTGTTCCCCAAACGACACTAGAAGTTTTCCCGTCTCCTTCTCCTCCACCTTCTGCCTTTCGCGAGCGATTGCCTGCTCGAGTCACGGACTTGCCATCCGGAATGGGTTCGAAATGTGTTCGGTTGGTGGATTTTCCATCAACATATGGCTCCCGTGCTGATGCTACTACCGCAAGGGCCAGCGTCCTGGCCTCGCTTATAACAGTCCACATCTGCGCCGAACACTCTCGCCTTGGTCTCTCCTACCTCTTCCCCACGCATTCCTCATCTACACAGCTTGTGCGCGCCCCAGGGTCCAGATACCATCGCCCATCATGACTTTACACGGCGACGCAAAGTCGCCCAGCGACCTCGCAGAGGTGGAGGCGCACCACTCTGCCAACCCTGACCTCGATGAGAAGACGCGTCTCTCCAACTTGAAGGCCGATGCCATCGATGCGGAAAATGTCGAACACAATATGGGCGTGCTCGAAGCCGTCCGTGCCTACCCCATGGCCAGCATGTGGGCGTTCATCATGTCCTGCACCATTGTAAGCTTCCCCCTTCACACTCAACCATGCGTGCGGCTGACAAGGCCAGATCATGGAGTCTTACTGCGTGTTCCTCATAGGCAGCTTCATCGCCCTGCCCGCCTTCGCTAATGACTACGGCATCTGGAGCGAGGAGAAGCAGAAGCTGGTGATTGCGCCTAGCTGGCAGTCGGCCCTCCAGGTGACCGGCCCCATTGGCGCCATTATCGGCGTCTGCATCGCAGGTCCCATCACCAGCCGCATCGGATATCGCTGGGCCACCATCCTTGGCCTCATGCTCCTCAACGCCTTCATCTTCGTCTTCTACTATGCCAAGTCGCTCCCCGTCATGCTGGTCGCGCAGCTGCTCGAGGGCGTCCCTTGGGGCATCTTCATCGCCAACTCGCCCGCCTACTGCAGTGAGATTGTGCCCCTCGCGCTGCGCGCCCCGGCCACGCAGATGCTGCAGATGTTCTGGGCCATTGGCGCCATCATCGTCAATGGCGTCACCTACTACTACAACACCCGACTCGACGACGCTGCCTACAGGATCCCCATTGCCCTCCAGTGGATGTTCCCCACACCCCTCGCCATCCTCCTCTTCCTGGCCCCCGAGTCTCCTTGGTGGCTCGTCCGAAAAGGCCGCCTCGAGGAGGCCAAGCGCGCTGTCCGACGTCTCGGACGCAAGTCCGTGGTGCAGAACATTGACGAGTCTGTTGCCATGATGCGCCGTACCATTGAGCTCGAGAAGACCGAGAAGGAGCCTAACCACCTGGAGCTGTTCCGTGGAACCGACCTCTACCGTACCCTCATCGTCTGCGGTGTGTACGCCGCCCAGAACCTGACGGGCAACTTGATTGCCAACCAGGCCGTCTACTTCTTTGAACGTGAGTTCTTCCATTTTTTTCAATGTCATCCTGGGACTCTTGTACGTGAGAAGAGCTGACAGTGATTACAGAGGCTGGTATGAGTGTCAACACCGCGTTTGCCCTCGGTCTCATCACCTCCGCTCTGCAGACCATCTTCGTGATGCTGTCCTGGATTCTCACCACCTACCTCGGCCGACGCACCATCTACGTCTGGGGCTCCGCCATCAACACCGTCCTGCTTGTCGCTCTGGGCATCGCAGCCTCCTTTGGTGTGTCGACCTCGGCGTCTCTGGCCCAGGCCTCCCTCGGTCTCATCGTCTCCGTCCTCTTCACCCTCGGACCCGCCCCTGCCTCTTGGGTCATCATCGGAGAGACATCGGCCATCCGTCTCAGGCCTCTGACGACTGGTATCGGACGTGGCTGCTACTATCTCGTCAACATTCCTTGCATCTTCCTCTCGAGTTACATGCTCAACCCCACGGTATGACTTATTCTCTTAATCACTGGAGACAAATCGCTGACAGGACACTAGGGCGCAAACCTCGGCGGCAAGTGTGGCTATGTTTGGGGTGGCACCGGCCTTTTCTGCCTGGTCGTCGCCTTCTTCTACCTCCCCGAGATGAAGGGCCGCTCGTACCGCGAGATCGACATCATGTTCAAGCGCAAGATTCCCGCGCGACAGTGGAAGAAGACTGTCATCGATGTCAACGACGACGAGTAGTCGTACACAGATATACTGCTATGGCTCATGTGTCCACCAGACATCGCGCGTGGTTCTTGGAATGTGGCGGTGTGCGTCGTGTACCACGCAACCTCACAAGGGGGCTGTCGAAAGTGTCCAGTTACTCACTTCAGCCGCTACTCGTGGATAGTAAATGACATTGCACATTTCGATCAAACTCGTAAAGCTCAAATGCTTATCAGAGATCACGTGAATTCTATTGGTATTCCGCGAGGCTGTAACATCCAGACACTAGTAGGCACAATCCGCAACCGCCTAACGTACTTTGCGCAAACAGCACTCGGCGACCTCCGCGGCATTGGAGATGAGTGTGATGTAACTTATAAAGCTTATTTTCCCGTCCAAATGTCCATCTGCTGATTTCACACCATGTGGTGTGTCATAAGCTTTGAGAGTCCAGGGTTCTGGACCGTTGATCGGGAGATCCCGCTTGGGCTTGCAGCGACCACAAGTATGGCCAGTCACGGTCGTTTGTGACTACTGCAGTCATTTCGTCCATCGCGATCCGCAGAATCAAATAAGAACGTAGCTGGCACATGGTGTCCGAGTATTGAAGGTCCCTCACTTCGCATGAGGCTTACCATCTTCTCACTTGCAGCTCGGATATGGATCTGCGCTCGACTGTAAGCCATCATCTGGTCCTTGGCAATCACGACATGGATCCTTACCAGGATTTCGTTCAGGTGGCCTCGCCATACACAACAATCCCGCCCATACTAGACGAGCCGATACCGTTGAGTCCGAGATGGGTCGCCCCGATGGCTCTCGCCTTGTGCGTCGTCGCGCTTGTCCTCCCGATCTTGTCTGCCTTGTATGTATTCTCCTGACCACAGAGGGAGGTCAAATCGTCCCACCACTGACACGTGACACTCTCAGAGCCTTGGCATCCAAAGGCGGCGCAGTGGCTCTCCTCACGGACCCAGATGACCCAAGCGGCCTGTCATCAAGCAGTTCGGACACGGATCCAGATGGCGAGAGGATACGCGAGCTGGAAGACACCTCGCCCGAGGTACAGTATGCCGAGCTCACAAGCCGCGACGTGGACCACTTTAACCGTTATCCATCTTGGCAGAGCTTGCAGGAATGGTATGCGTCTGCAATTCTTGGGAGGGATTCCGGCCTCAGTTTGTGGAGAGAGTTTCTGACTTTGCTTGCAGCGTCTTCTGCTTGGACCCCCTGAAGCCGAATGATATGGTTCGCCGACTCCCCTGTGGCCACATATTTCATTCTCGATGCATCATGACGTGGTTTTTACGGGAACACCACAATTGTCCTCTTTGCATGGCTGGCTTTCTACACAGGGACGTGCTTTAAATGGCCTCTGAGAGCCAGGAGATGACGCACATAATGTCACTGCCATACTCGACCAGCCAGGAACAAAGAAAATACAAAATTGGAGTGTCTGTCAGACGCAGTTGCAAGTCTTGAAAGCGATCGGGTACAATCTAGATCTGTCGCAGCAGGCTCAACGATTCATTCTAGTAATCCATTGTTTCGAAAGCCCGGACTCGACGGCGCCGCTTATGGTTCTGGAATGTCTACGGCCTCGGGGATTGCGAGTCACTGTTGCACTTTGCTTATATTTATCGAGACGAAATTGTTTCAAGTGTCAGCGGCCCACCGTATAATTTCTTAGAATTTTATTTGCCAGCAATGCCTTTTCTGGCGAGAGAAACGTCAATATGCCCGCATCATGCTCACAACCTTTGACTAGCGACACGCCAATGCGAACCTCAGCCAGCGCCTCTGTATGGCTCCCACTAGATTTCTAGTCACCGAAAGTCCTGTGGCAGATCAGACAATCGCATTTCAAGGGCTAGACTGATTCATCAGCCAGGCGGTGGCTGCATGTGTGCAGACTTGGAGTCTAGATCATACCACCCTGGGCGACTAGTGCATTGACCATGTACAGCAATATAAAATCAAGTCGGATGCAGCGGACAACGGTTCTACAGGTGTATATTCAGTCCAAGCTGCCCTCATCAAACTGCTTCTATCCAGTTTCACTGTTATTGGGCGACCACAACCACCCCTCGGACATCAAAATATCAACAGAAACATGCCAGGTGCAACAAAGGAAGATCAAACCGAGATTCCCGAGCTTCTTTACCACACTTACCTGAGGGTCAATAGTGGAGAGCCGGGAAGTTCCAAGGCCATGGGATGGACTCGAATCGCGTTACTGACGACAAACTCCATCCTGACGAGACCGATGCCATCGACGGGCAGCCGCCACCACTTGTATGCGGCTGCTGGGTTGGCGAGGTTCAGCATGATCTGAGTCTTGATTTTAGACAGCCTGGCGAGGTCCACGGTCTCAGTGCCAATCTTGGATGTACCATCGTACACAAAGCCAACATCGCCCTCAGCACAAGACACCGTGACAACCTGGTCTGTATGCAACACTTGGGTTGCGTTCCCAGTGCCAACGATAGCAGGCAGCCCCAGCTCACGACTGACAATGGCCGCATGAGAAGTGCGCCCACCATGGTCGGTGATGATGGCCGCGGCACTCTCCATCAGGGGAACCCAATCCGGATCTGTGGCCGTCGTGACGAGGATAGATCCTTTGACGAAACTGTCCATGTTTTCGGCGGACTCAATCAAACATAAATGACCAGACACGGCGGCATCCCCCACAGAACCGCCAGTGACAAGTACACGGCCCTTTTCTTTGACAGTATATGTCTTGAGCACAGCCGCGTCATCGCGGGAGCGCACTGTCTCTGGGCGCGCCTGGACGATATACAAGTCGCCTGTCACACCGTCTTTGGCCCATTCAATATCCATCGGACAGTCATAGTGCTTCTCTATGATACAGGCCCACCTACTCAGCTGCAGAATCTCGGCATCTTCCAGCACAAACATGGCCCGTTCCGCCTTTGAGGTAGGCACGGTGCGTGTCGGAGTATCTTTGACGCCGTATACCTAACACCTTTGTCGCCTTTCCGCCGCATTTCTTCTCCAGCGTAGGGGTCAGGCTATGATTGTCCAGCAAAGGCTTGAAGACCTGATATTCGTCAGGGTCGACGGTACCCTGCACGACGCTTTCCCCCAAACCCCAGGCAGCGTTGATGAGGACGACTTTGTCAAAGCCAGTCTCAGTGTCGATGGAGAACATGACGCCAGAGCCGCCAGTGCTCGAGCGGACCATGCGCTGCACCCCAATTGACAATGCTACGCTCATATGATCAAAGCCTTTGGACTGTCGATAGCTGATGGCTCGATCCGTGAAGAGCGATGCGTAGCACTGCCGGCAGGTGTCCAAGACCGCATCTGCCCCGTAGACGTTGAGGTATGATTCTTGCTGGCCTGCAAAGCTAGCATCCGGAAGATCCTCTGCTGTTGCACTTGATCGCACCGCGACAGCAAGTTCCATGTTCCCCTCAGCTCGCGCCAGCTCGAGGTACTCCCTCTTGATTTTGGTGGCTGCCTCTGGAGGCCAGCTTCCTCGAAGAAAGAGGCGCCTAATAGCAGCGCCTGTCTCAGCCAGAGTTGCCGTGTTGCTCTGCCATTCACTGATGATGTCGGACAATCGAGCATGGATATCGTTATAGCCGACGTATTGCCAGTATAGCTGTGAGGTAGTCGCAAAGCCAGGCGGAACTGGTATGCCCTTGCTCTTGAGGGCGCCAATCATCTCGCCCAAGGAGGCATTCTTTCCTCCGACGAGGGCCACATCGCTGCGGGCCAGAGTCTCAAACTTGCGGATGAGTTCTCCATCATTATCTGTTGAATTCATTGTCGTGTTTTGGTCCAAGAACTTTTGCAGCGTCAATATGGATACATTCCCTTGAAGCCGTCGCCTGTCGTGACTATCACAGCTTGGTTCTTCGAGGAGAAACAGCGCGCGTGCTACAAACGACGTCAGAGCATCTCCTTTTCTAGACTTCTAGACTTGTCGACTTAACATTGTCTCCATACGAAACCCGGCGATGTCCGCGTCGACCTTAAAAGGCACCACGGTATTGTTGCGGCTTGAACCGGCGCCAGGCGGTCGCGGTCGGGATTCCAGGCTTTGGGTGACGGGTCCCGGAAGCCTACAAAAGTCTATTGCTGAAGCGACTAGTTTCTCTCGGCTTAGGCCCATTGGAAAGGTGGTGTACTGACATGCACGATACAACCCCTCAAAACATCCATGGCGTGGAAATGATGCCACCTAGTACTATAGTACGGCATGTGACGAGTTCGCGAGGAGTAGTCGACTCTCTGGATCACACCACACCGGCGAGAAAGCGGGCATGTCGACAGCTCCTGCAGCAGTTAGTTCAATGTACAAAATAGTCGAATAGAGCCGGCGGCCGGCCAATCTCGATGAGTGATGGTCCTCAGCCGACCTCTCCGTGGACACCGGCCTTGACTATTGAAGGTCCTGACGAGAGAGAATAGTCTCAATTATGGATGCCGCCATAGGCCAAACCTTGAATATCGACTTCAAGCATGTCACACCAATCGTACGTGAGCAGCATAATAGCGGGCACACGCAGTCGCACCCTGCTGAAGTCCCGAGTCCTGGTCTGCCATCTAGAACGCCGCATCCTCAGCCAAAACAATCATTGTTCCTTCCGATAACATCAGCGAGTTTCCGAGAAAACGTGGCATCAGTCACATAATGTATCCCTATGCATGCCCGTCTCGATTCACGGGCCATTAGGGAAACGCTGCTAAAGTCCATTCCTGTACGACCGCCCATGCGTGGTCATAAGCCTCGGTAGCGAGTGTAAAAAGCTGGCTCAAAGCGTTGTCGAACGGAAAGAGCCTCTTCACAGCATGATTCACTGTTCAGATGCACTGTATCCCGATCTAGACCAGCTTTCTCTGCAGTAGAGCAGCCCGGAGAGCCCGGGGACACTCTCCGAGGCTTTCGCTGCAGTCTTCTTGGTCCCCGTAAAACGTGCGACTCCAATGAACATCGAAAGTAGATACGTAAAATTATGCTCTCTCGGGGTGTGGTGCTGAAGGTGCTGTCTCGAATCGTCTGTGATGGGGGCGCCACTCGCGAGGATCACCGGGGTAAATTTCAGCGTGTTTTCTTCGCGCTGCGATGCTGCCTAAATTTTGGCTATTGTTGGCACAGAATCAGTGGCCGATGCCAATCATCGATGAGCTGCTCAGCCGGCAGTCGTCTATTGTGGACTGAGCCATTCAGCTTCTGATGTCGAAAGTTCTGAAGATATCGTGTCTATTGCCTTTGTCGATGGCATGTCTATGTTAGATACAAACAAGACTCAGACATAATATAGATTGCCCTTCAACTAATACCCGCTGCCCGGGACTGAATCAGTCTGCCATATGTATTTGCCGAACAAGATGATGCTTCGGTATACGCCAGAACCTGCTGACCTCAGATTCTTCTATTGTTCATTGAAGCTCTCAAGCAGACAATTGTGCTTGCTACGAGTACCTACCAGAGATCAGGCCCATCTCATCTACCGGATCAAACGGCGAGTGTCGTGTGATACATGCTCCTCGCCCACCATCTCGGGCTTTGCGGCTTTCTGTTGGATCAAAGATCGCGCCGTCCTCGAATTACGTCAAAGGTGTCTCACACACAACTGAAAGTGCCACACAGAATCGTCGCCAAAAATTCGGACATTCTAGGCCATGCCGTTGCGGATTGCAATTTTCAATATATAAGCTGGGGCGTTGTGATGTAGAAGGATAAGGGTATTGGCCCATTCGTGAGCACCTTCTTGACGATACAGTCCCATATTCTTAGTATCAACGATATCATGTCCTTTGTCCCACACGCCCACATGGGATCTCTCATCCGTTTCTTCGATGAGATTGACAACTATACGCGCGACTCAATCGGCAGGCGATCTCTCCAGACAGGGGATTCGCTGCGAATTCAACCTCGCTTCGACGTTTGTGAGCGGCAAGACTCTTATGAATTATACAGGGAGCTCCCAGGAATGGAAAAAAAAGACCTCCATCTCGAGTTCACCGATCCCAAGACCCTTCTTCTCAGTGGTCACATTGAGCGTTCTTATACTGCAGGAACCCAACGGAAGACATTAAGGCTCTGGAAAAGCCGTCGGAGAAGCCAGAGCAGAAGACAACAAGAAAACCAGCGGGAGAGCCCTCCCCAGAACAGCCAACAGCAGAGAAGGGGAAGGACGTCAGTGGTGAGAGCGACGAGCCTAAAAAGCAGGCGGCACCGGCGAAAGAAATCGGCCACAAGTATTGGGTCGCCGAGAGGAGCATCGGGGAGTTTTCCCGCGCATTCAACTTTGCCCATCATGTAAACCCGGATGGGGTGACTGCGGAGCTCAAAAGTGGTGTCCTGTCTGTGCACGTCCCAAAGGCCAGCGATGCTGTTATCCACACGGTACAAGTAAAGTGATAAGATTTTAGTCAGATGATTCATGCAAAGGACTATCCTTATGTGTCTATATATACTTCGAATTGTTAAATCCCTTGAACGAGTCTCTCTTACCGCTCACGCCTACCCTATAGCTTCTGCATTACACAGACCTCATGGGGCACTAACTTTAATGAGTGGGAGGCTTGTCATGCCAGCGTGGAAAGTTGGAACCACTTGAGTTTCTTTCCAGCTTGGGATACTTGTAAATCTCATGTACTGAAAACACATTATGGGGCTTAAAAATGTAAAAGCCGCCTTAGTGGGATCAAAGAAAACTTGGAAAGGGATAACGCGTCATATCTTAGTTCTCTATTACAGCAAAAGAGCCATATCATTAGAGTTATGTTTTATTCCCGGTGATTGGGTGTATTCCATTTGATATTCTTGACAGACTTAATAGCGCGGTCAAGTACAAGGTCCAGGGGCTTGTACTCGTGAGACTTCCGGGCAGCGGACACACCTTCACTCTGCGTCTCTTTCGATTTTGGTATCCATTGCGTGACTTTGTATGGGTGCCTCTGGCAGACATGCTCGAAGATCAACAATTCAATCGGGATAAGGATAGATCGCAAATCCCGGAGAACTAATGGGATAATTTGGAGAACTCTGGCTGACTGCTTCACGTACAGAGTCCCGAATCTCATCCAGAAACGAGAAGCCGAGCACAGGCTTTCAAGTCGCAAGGGGGGGCAATGTCTGTGGGCACCCGACCGAGGAAATTGAGTGCGACGAGCAGAGGCTCACAGATGTCACATATGCACGAGGCCAAGTTGCGAACCTTCGAACAGAACCCGGCAATCCGAGGGTTCGGATTCCGGAAAAGACCCATAACAGTGGAGTAGCTGCCGGAGCACAGGCTCCGTCGCCGCCCCAAGGAGTTGGCATTCGGAACTCGGGGGCCCGGGCGACCGGGTCTCTCATACATAGAGCCGTCGAATCGACGTCAACAACATGACTCAAGGCGCTGTACGAAGTACTACTACTTTTTTGTTGCCTCGTCCATCTGGCAATCAGTCGCATATCCCTTTTTTCCCCCCGGCTGAATCAGTGGCAGCAAGCTTGGCACAGCATAATGCCCGAATGGTTTACACGCACGCACGTAGTGTAAGGGAGTAGTACACACAGGTATATGTATGTTCAATTGGAAATGGCAACCTGAAAAATGCGCATCTTCATTGTCGTATACACTTCGAGCCCAATCGCTCATTGTCCCGGCAGCGATCCTCGACGCCCCGCTCTTCGGCATCACGGCAATGCTCCACGGCTTTCAGATGGTCCGAACCAGGACGTGGTATCTAGAAGCCTTTTTTGCTGGTGGCTGCTGTGGATCGGCCCCTCAAGAGGACCTATGGAGGACGTGAGACGTTGACGAGCATAAATAGGCGAAGTCGTGGGCTATATCGCGCGGACAATGAATGCCTTTGAGGATGTCGGCTGGGTGACATTGGTACCTAACACAATCCAGGACACCTCCTTCTTCACCGGTCACGCACTCTTGGCTGCCTCTTCCCACATGATCCTCGCGTACATTATCTCCTTACCGAACGCGAGCGCCACGCCATCGTGCGCTGTCGCTGGTCAACCAAGCTCTTTGTTGCGGGCGACGTCCTTTCCCTAGTCATGCAATCGTCCGGTGGCGGTATGATGATTGTAGCTGGCGAAGGCAACAACATGATGAAGGTGGACGAAAAAATCATCATTGGTGGCTTGTATTTGCAGCTCGTGGTGTTCGGGTTCTTTGTGGTCAGTGCCGCCACCTTCTATATGAAGATGAACAAGGCGAGCACGCCGAGGAGCCAGGACCTAGATGTCCGATGTAAGTCGCGCTTGATGTCGCTCTACGTTGTCAGTGAGCTCATCTGGGTCAGAAGCATCTTTCGTACAATCGTGACGGGCATTCATGCTCGTGAGATGCGCATGGGGCTTAGTAGGTGGTGCACCCGCACTGCGCGAATGATAATCTTTAATACTCTCAGGCATCAGAATGACATAGACATAGACCATCGCACAGACCGGACAGGCCACAGAATGGAAGGATATGACTCGGTAAGGGTTTGTCGTGAAAATATGACATGTCAAGGAGCCTATGAGCGTCAAGAGTAGCATGCTCGAAGGAGTGATAGTCAGGCAGGCACATGCAAGTCCGTGCCCAGAAGAGAAGAAGAGACCACATAATTCCCTTCGACTTCGACGAAAGAGAGGAGACCAATGCTCTGGAACGATATGACGGCAGAATATTACACTTGTTATCCGACATATCCAGAGGCCTCGCCATGATCGCTCGGGGAGGCTTGGTTGATCTCGGGAGTTTGGGGGGCGGACCGATGGTTGAATCCGGATGGAAATCGGCACGAGCCTGTGACCCTGCAAAAAGCTGGCTCAATCCGCAGGGGTCTGCGAAACACAAAACGCCACATTCGGCTTATCGGCACCAAGATATAGTAATCCAGACAGGAAAAAAAGCTTGGCGAGTTCAGGGCGCTATACTCCGTATGCTCATGTATGCTCCAGAGATCTACATCGTAGCAATACGAGGCGCGAGGAGCCGATGCGAGCAAATCCGAGATACCCACACGCACGCGGGCCTGCCGCAAGAGATAGCAAACATGTCACGTATAGACGTCCACTGGCAGATTATAGGTAATTTGAATGTTCTGTGTTCTCCTAGATCATCTCTTTACTTCACTCTCTCAACTCGCATTCACCCTTCTATTCAGCCCTCGACGTGGTGGTGCCCTCACGCTGACTTTCGTCTTCTTGTCTCGAAACGCCGACGGACAAACAGTATGGCAGAGCTCAAATCATACAACGGCTACTACCTCTGGCAGTATATCCCGAACACAGTAGCGGCCGCCCTATTCACTGCACTGTTCGCCTTGGGAACGGCAGTGGTGGTATGGCGAATGATCAGAAGTCGCGCCTGGTTCTGCACCGTGTTCATCATCGGTGCCATACGTGAGTCCCCACCAATTTGTCATGGCCGTCCTATGGGGTAGTCATTCGAAGTGTCCACTCGCTGACTTGGATAAACTCGTAGTGGAAATCGGCGGATACGCTGCGAGAGCCGTGTCAAAGGACAAGACCGACGAGCTCATACCATATGTCATCCAGAGCACGTTCATCCTCGTCGCGCCCGCCCTGTTTGCCGCGTCCGTGTACATGTCCTTGGGTAGAATCATTCGGAGCATCGGAGCAGAGTCCCTCTCGATCATCCCCGTCAAGTGGCTCACTAAGATCTTCGTGTGTGGCGACGTCATCTCCTTCATGGTCCAGGCCAGCGGCGCCGGCATCCAAGTCAAGGCGAACTCCGCCCAGACGGGCGAGAACATCATTCTGGGAGGTCTGTTTATTCAAATCATCATGTTCGGTCTGTTTGTTGTGTCGGCCGCCATTTTCCATGTCCGCATGGGCCGACACCGCCCCAGAGCCTCGCTGGAGCATGGTACGAAGTGGGAGAAGCTAATGACGATGCTCTACATTGTCAGCGTCCTGATCATGGTCAGGTCGATTTTCCGTGTTGTTGAGTACATCATGGGCCGTGACGGATATCCCTTGTCACACGAATGGACTCTGTACGTCTTTGACGCGGTGCTGATGTTTGGAGTGGTGGTTCTCTTCGCTTGGAGATTTCCCAGCGACTTAAATCCTTTCAAAACGGATCAGGAGAACATCGAGATCAGTGGAAGAGCACGTCAAGGGGAAGTCATTGACCAGCACAAGTAGTCTGGAGCTCGGATGGTGACGCGCGCTGGAGTTCCACCTGCACTTGTTCACTGTTTTAGATCTCTGTTAGTCTGACGGGCAGAAGAAAGTTCAAACTGAAGCTCCTGCTGGAGGTATGGTGCTCAGGGAATTTGCATTTTTAGAAGTTTGAGCCGCCGGTGCTTCGTAATAAGTGACGCCTGATTTTGGTCGAAGAGCGACTAGCTGGGGACACATGTGCAGCTTATAAGTCAAGAGACATGTTTGATGTGTTCGGGGCTAGGGAGACAAGCAATTAATTTTCTAGTCTATTCTGCGCTAAATGGTTTCTCTCATTCGAGTGTAAGGCTAATTAATACTCGGTCCCTGGGCAACAGATACGCTCCGTTGTTATTATTACATGGACTTTGCTAGCATTGTCAAGCACCTGGTCTGCCCTTTGAAATGGCATCAAAGTGCTCCATAACAGCGCTGTCGCCTAATCCCACTTCACGTCTCCTGTCTGCTAGATACTTTCCTTCTAATAGGAGAGCTGCCTCGACGGATCGTCGAGTATTAGAATGGGCAGTGTGGAGGATGCTTTTGTAGATCCCCTGCAAAGGATAGGTTGCTACGCCCATCACCGCTGCCACGAGATGTCAGTATCAGAGCCAGTATTTCGCGGGGAAGCATCATCCGGCGTCCGCAGTGATCAACCGCTAGTCACGTACCTGTGAAGACATTGCTGCCCAGGCCTGCAATGCCCTTGCCAACACCCTTAACAGCGCCAATTGCCCCTTGCCGTTGGGCTCCAGAGTATGGTAGGAGGATGAGACCAGCCACTCCATCGTAGAGGCCGAGGACAACGCACTTCCCTCCAGCGGCTGCTCCGGACTTCCAGTCGCGAATTTCGCCATAGTCTCTGACATTCTCACCATACAAGTGCGGCAGATGTCTCAAGCCCTCGGTGAAGGCAAACGGCACGATGATTGCGCCGCTTGACAATCGCTTGAGAAAATCGGCAGCACCGTTTCCTGAAATCGCAGCCATAGTTCTGGCTGTGCTCAGACAGTGTCTGGACTTTGCCCCGCCGTTGACGCTGGTCGGACCTTGGCCGCGCAATGTCACCATGTCCGCGGCCGTTAGATCAGGCGAGGTATTGGTGTCCGTATCCTTTTTCCTCTGGTGATAGACCTTGACAGGCTTGACGACCGTGTCTGCAGCAGCCCTGGCCAAGTCTGCGCTGACACCCAAGGCGGCACCAATCGTACCCGTAAAAGGATCCCATCGACGTGTCTGGATGACGGTTCGACGGCTTTCGTGCCTGCAGAAAATCAGTTCTCTGTGTACTCGTCAACCATGGGGGGCAAGGGATTACAATTCGAGCCCTTTTTTGTCAACCTTGAGGTGACTTAAAAGGACTTCAGCAGCGGCCTTTGACAGCTTGAGATTGGTCCTCTTGCGCGAGTACGTCCATGCTGCAGGCTGGCCCTTGATAACGTCACATTCGAGCAAGTCCCGAGGAAGATTTGAGTGGAAGGACTTGACCGCCTGCTGGACACCCGACTCGGATTGCATCTGCACCGCAATTCTCTCCGCGGCCGAGGCGGCTTGTTTGGTCAGGCAATACTGTATCGCCTCGACAAGCTGACTCACGTCCAAGGATTTCTGAGGAATAGGCGACGGACCAGCGCCGGCAGCGGCCACCATGTCACCCCAGAAAGGTTGACTGAGGAAATGATTAGCTAAAACTCGTGTTTGGAAAGCAAAGCGGGGGTTGAGGGACTAGACTAACTCCCCAAAGAAAGGTACAATGGTGGTCGGCCGGCCATTGAGAAGGCCACATGCTGTCGTACCTGCACCTCCATGGTGTACCACGGCCCTGACGTGCTGGAAGAGCCACTCGTGTGGGCAGTCGTCTAGGAACATGACGTCGGTACTCTGGGCGCCATCTAGCTTGCTCCAACCCCGCGAGATGAGTGCTCTGGTTCCGGTGATGCGGACAGCTTCGAGAATCATCTCCGAAAGAGATGATGGATCGTCGACAACGATGCTGCCAAAACCAATGTAGATCGGAGGCGGACCTGCAGCGAGGAACTTCTCGAGCTCGGGCGGCGGCGTGTACGAGGGCGCCTCACGGAAGAAGAACCCGCATACATCTAATCAAATAGTCAGCTGCTTGATGCACAAGTGGATGGCGAGTAGTGATACCTATGTGGTTCCCCCAGTCTCTGGGTTTCGGCACCAGAGCGGGCGACCAGCAGTAGGTGAAGGGAACATTGAGCGTTTCCGCGAGACGCGGCCCTTCTGAAAAGGCAATATGCTCCAAATCAATGCTCTCCCTCCACTCGTTGATAATGTCACCGAGCCTAGTCGAACCATTAGCCACCTCATATCGTCAGGTCACTCGTGTTCGGGGAAACAGCGTCAGTCACATACCCCTGCCACGTTAAAACCTCCACAACCGCGTATGAAAGATAGTTTGCCGACATGTGCTTGGTTGCGGAGCTCTTGCCAAGCTCCATGTTGACCAAGGGATGTGGGAAAGCCTCCGTGCTCGTCCAGGGCATGGTGAACATCATGTGTACCGGGATGCCCAGCGCCTGAGCGCAGTGGATATGAGCGAAGCTGGGGGGGTTGGCGATAATTGCATCCGCCACAAAAGGTACATTCGAGACGGGATCTGGACTTATGCAGGACCTCCAGCAGCCGCGAAGTATCTCAGACATCATAGCCCTCTTCTTCTTGATATCGCCAGCCCGGAGGCTCTGCATGCTTGGGATAAGCCCCGGGTTCCGTACCATGTACGCCATTAGTTCTGCCGGATCCCCCCCGATGGGAAAGAATTCGAGCCCTGCGTCACGGACAAACCGGTCAAAGGCATTGTGTGTCGCCAGTCGCACTCTGTGGCCATGTTTCTGTAGCTCAGCGCCAAGGGCTACAAACGGCTGGACATCGCCACGACTTCCAACAACCTGAATGGCAATGTTCAACTTGATGGGGAAAGGTTGCTGGTCGTCTTCTCCGTGTTGCCCGCTTGAGTATGGGGGAGGTGCCGACGACTGTCCATCTTTTGGGGGTAGCGACGGTGGCCCATGAATCGAGAGGAGCGACAGTCTCTCGATAACGTCCCAGTCTAGGTTTATTTTGATGCGGCCGTCTTCTGTTAAAAATAGACTGTCAGCTCCGTTCTAGGGTATGCACGTACACAACCAAGTAAGTTAGGAGGGGATCTTGATCCGTACCTCTCACCTTTGGCACCTCGGTCAACAGATTCCCTTCCGATGCAAGGTCATACGACGGTGGCGCATCTGCCGCCGTGGATCGATCGGGATCTCGCTCATCCGTTATCTTGCTTCCGTCGCTCGCCATTGCACTTTGAAGCGAGGAGTTTTCACGGTGCAATTCTTCGGCCACAAAGAAAGGAAGTGTCTGAGTCAATGATGAAGGGTCGGTGACGTTGAACTGTGACATAGTGGGTGAGTACTGTATTTCAACACGCTATCTGTTGCGATGCGAACACTAGCGCAGCAGTCCATTCCAATGATCACTGAAGCCCGAGGGAGGCGCAATCCGAATCCGAGAATCCGAAACGGACTCGCCGAGTCGCAGACACTGTTACGGCTCATTCACGCGTCACGACTCACGGCTCGCGCTACTCGACCGCGAGTCACGCGGGCTCAGCCTCCATTTCCCATTTATGCCTTCTGAAATTTCAAACACGCCCGCCCCACGCCTCGCATTATCGCGCGTTGACTCGGATGATGCGAGCTCACCGCCACTCGTCTCATTGCTGCTGTGTTTCGCGTGCCTTACCACAGTACTCAGACTCGGCACTGTTCACTGTCACTGGACTCATGTGTCCGCTTCTAATTAGGGCCTCAGGCAGTCTCTGGGTCATCACTAAACGGCCTTTGATTGGTCAGGACTCAATTAGTCCACATCCAGTCGCCTGAGGTGTGCTGCCTTTTGCGTTTCCCGTGTTCCCGTTTTTCTTCTTCCAGCACTAAAGTTAGCATCTCTCGTCAATCAGATAACGGTCTCATGAGTTCCATTTCGGATAACATGTGATCCCCTCTCCAGTGACTTCAACCCCAAACATTACTACAATGACGGACAATCATAGCTCCTGAGTACCCAGGTATCACCGCGCTCGTGTGCTTGGATATAATCCTTATATCCACATCAGGAAACAGGTAGGAGCTATTATTACTGCGAGGTACGACGCTCGATTCCCCCGCCCCTCTTACTGTTCAATTACTACATGTCTTCACACTTCTAACACTCCATGCAAATGGCGCAGCCTAATTTCCACGTGTGCATAGTCGGCGCGGGCATTGTTGGTCTCGCTAGTAGCATTCTCCTTTTGCGGGATGGCTTCGAGGTCACATTGCTAGAGAAGGATGGCAGCCTACAGGTCAGTCAGGTTTTCACGATTGGAGAACTCATCTAATGGGCACAGAGGTCGGCTGCAGGCATCCAGCTCCATCCAAACGCTCTCCGGGTTTTACAAAACCTCGGAGTATACGACCGAATCCAGGAGAAATCGGTTTCGGTACGCTCCATTGACTTGAAGCAGTATGCGACCGGGGAAACATTACACTCCCAAGACCTTAGGCCGCTGCAGGACAGGTACGGTGCACCGGTGGTCGCTGTACACAGAGCCTTTTTGCGCCAGGTCTTGTACGATGAAGCCGTAGCACGCGGGGCCAACGTGCGCCTAGGTACTGCCGTTAAGCTGGAAGCCTCCGATCTCAAACATGGGGTCTTGAAAATCAGCGAGTCGGAGTCTATCTGCGCCGATCTTTTCATCGGAGCTGACGGAGCAAATTCGGCCTTGCGTGAAGCTATCACGGGCCGCAAACTCAAGCTGATTCCTCATGGGTTTGTCGTGTATCGCATCCTGATCGACGAGTCACTCATTCAGGCACAACCGAGTCTTCAACATTTCGTCGAGGAGCCGGTCATCACCGTCTGGCTCGGCCCGAAGTCGCAGGCAATCACTTACAGCTTGCACGGGCTGTTCAACATTGCTTTCACGCGACCATGGTCTGACGAGCCGTTTTACACCCCGCAAAAGGGCGACCTGGATGAGTTCAGAGCCGAACTCAAGGCCGAGGGCTGGGCCACCGAGCTCCAGGAGCTGATTGGGCTTGCCACGGAATGCCACCGATGGATGTTCATTGAGCCGGAAATCGATGATGAGAATACGCCGTGGGTGGATGAAAGCGGCAGGTTCTGTATTGCCGGAGATGCCGCACATCAAACGCTGCCGTACCTGCAAGTCAACCCTGTTTGACCTTGACGAATTGTGGCTAATAACAGGTCACAGAGCGCAGGGGGCAGCCATGGGCCTCGAGTCTGCCTCAATATTGGCCCACGTCCTGAACAACGCCAAGGGACACGCTCAGACTGGCGCTGCTTTGAGAGTCTACGAAGTTCTCCGTAAGGAACGCTCCGCGCGTATCATCAGAGCTAGCCTGAAGAATGGGCGGCTCTGGCAACTGCCCAATGGACCCTTGCAGCGAGAGCGCGATCGCGAGCTGCGTAATGATACACCTAGTGCCGGCTTTCCGAATCTGTTGGCAGATCCATTCTTTCAGGAGTGGCTGTGGGGATTCGACGCGACAAAGGCAATGGATGAAGCTTCTACATTCTAATTGCGCCTTGAGACAGATACGAAATTTCGATTTTTTTGTGGCAGTGTTCATCAACGGAGTGAGGCGAGCATTCCAAGGATTGTATTAAAAAGCACACGTGAGCGAGCTATGGACTATATGTCCCGAGAAGGACCAGGCAGGTCTGGACTGCTTCAAGAGAGTGGGAACCACTCGTTGAATTTGCCCTTGGGGTCGTACTGCTTCTTCAGACGCTGCAGCTTGGCGAGGCTGCCGCCGTAAATGTTGCTGAGAGGCTCATCACCGTGCGCGAAGTTGACGTACCTGCACAACGTGTTAGTAAGTCTCCGGGGCTCAGATTTGGGCTACTCACGAGCTGGCACTAGTCCCGGAGGAGTTGTACCACAAGTGTCGGAGTCGTTTGGCAAAGTCATTTGCCTGAACATCGAGCGATGGACTCGTGTACCAAGGGATTACGATGGCATAGCACTTGATGTCACGCCATGGGTAGGCCGACTTTGCACCCCCAATCTCCAGATTCTTGGCAGTGGAATAACACTCCGTCAAAATCGTTGTCTGGTTCGCTTCAGGGTAGGTTTGATAGAACGAGAGGTAATCGTTCCAGGCGTTGCGCCAGGCCGTAGGGTCCAAAGTCTGCATGTTGGCGGTATAGGCAGGTTTGCGACCGCCCCTGGCGCAGAACATGTCGCCGGCGGCATTCCAGGTGTTGAATGGGATGACGGCAGTATCATCCGCCAACGGTCCAATGTCCAGGATCGAGGCGAACTTCTTGCGGCCCTGCTCTTCCGAGCCAAGATAGAAGGGCAAGACAGCCAGTTGGCCCTGGGTAAAGTAAAAGTCCAATTGCATCTCGGGCTCAAAATCAAGCTTATCGATGGCGGCGATGACTTGTTCGAGCTTGCTCGAGTCGTAGGGCAGCAGGCCTGTCCAGGCAGTGTTCTGATCCTGGGGCATCGGGTAGCTCTTGTAGACAACCGATGTGACGATGCCAAAGTTGGGGCCGGCGCCGTTCAATGCCCACCAGAGGTCCGGGTTGCTCGTGGGCGTGACGGTGACCTTTTTCCCATTGGCGTCGACCAGATTCACCTTGAGAAGCTGGTCAGATCCCAAGCCGTACATGCCTGTTCCGCGCCCGACACCACCCCCAAGGCCTGCGCCAAGGACACTGACACAGTTGCAAGTGCCCGTGGCGACGCGAGCATCATTGTTGTAGGCTGCACCAACGAGATCCTCGATGAGAACACCGGATTGGAAGGTAACTTGCGTCTTGTCCTTGTTGAAGCTAATGGACTTTAGCTGGGAGACGTCGATGATGATGCCGGTACGGCCCAGGGTGAAAGTGTCAGCCCATCCAGTCGCGCCACTTTGTACAAGATACTCGACCTTGAACGCGTTTGCAACCTGCACGATTTTGGCGACGTCGTCTTCCTTCCCAACCGTGATGATGGCTCCGGGCTGAGGTTCTTCATATTCGCTCCACCGCTCAGGCGCGACACCGCATTTGACAAAGGAGCTGCTCGAGACAGCCGCGTCAAACTTGTCACAGAGCGCAGGAAAGGCGACGCTACCCGCCAGGCTGACGCTCGCAAGGGCGGCCGAAGCTAACATGCGAGGGAAGAACATGCTAGGCGAGCTCGAGCCCTGTTGAACAAGAAAGGGAGAGAGGGATCTGGTTGGCGTCCAAGCCCCGAACTTGCCACGCGAGCAAGGTAGTATCAGGCAGAAATGGAAGAGGGATGAAGGATCATCGACTGCCTTTTCTGGATTGGAATAGCATATCTAAATACTGCTCGGGAGGAGCGCACTGGACTGCGGCGTTGCCCGGTCGCCCGTTATTTGGCAAGTCCCATTAATCACCCGTCTTACGAACAAGGGTAACGGACGTTCTCAAAGCCAGTTTTCGTGTACTAATGCAATTTGGGCGGTGCACCAGGGGTGCCATGACTGCACAGGAGGCTGGAGAAGCGGCGCTGAACTCGCTGCTCTACATAGTGCTCCCTGGTTCACCCAGGAAGCCGATCCTTCAGCAATCATGGACCAATGATCGAGGAAAAGGCCTCACGGGGAACCGATCGCATGCTTGCCCGTTTGGTGAGCCACGCGAGAAGATGAGATCGCAAATGGCAGATGCACGAAATCATTGCGAAACTGGTCCGTGAACGGTGAGCCTGCAGCTCTTTGTCATGTCGGCTCTCATAGTCTCACTTGCGACTCTTGTCTCTGGCCTGCGATATCTTCGACTCCTAAGTCCTGACCGATGAGGGTTGTGGTTTTCTCTCTGCTTCATTTAGAATTTCTAGCTGCTGAGGTATTATTACAACCACAGTCGACTGGACATCTGAAGCATTCTCAACCTCGGAATTTGCCTCGGGGTTGGAAAAGTCGCAATTACCGCTCAATTTATTAGGCCTTGCAGCTTTGCTTCTTGAAGCCTGCACTGCAGTCTGCAGCACTTGAAAATGGCGATGGGGCCGGTGTTGCATTCTCCAGACCTTCTGTTCTGGTCAGTCCCCGAGCCAATAAAGAGACGCTTTCGCTGCAGCACACGGAGCACTTATTCATCGCGCGGCCGCTTCGTGCCGTCAGGGTGCCCATTGTGGTCGAAGGAAGCGAAGGATTCTGCAGACTCGACAGATAGCGTCATACAGGCACCGATCCTCCGCACCGCGTCGGGATTGTCCACTAAGCCTCTCATACATTTGCATGTGTGAAATGTTCAAGTAGGACCGAGTGTGGGATCCACGATGCCGAACGCCTATCGCAGACGGCAGGTGATGCCATCAAAGCCTTGCCACGCATTGCGCCGCACTGCGTTGAACACCAGATGTTGCGATCGCAGCAGATAGCTAAAGGCTGGGGGCAGCCGGTCTTGAAGGGACACCTTGTTTCAGTGATCTTGACCCTGGTGATGCCCAAATCAACAAGTGAGCTGTCGCAACCATGGGAAATCCCTACTTTGACCCAGAATACCAGCCGTACACGCCTTCGGTGCTGATTGGGACGTCCGTCCTGTTCATGATACTCCCCATTGCCGCTGTGGCCTTGAGGTTCTACTCACGGTCGTTGGTGCAGGCGAACTTGGCAATCGATGACTGGATTACCATTCCGTCGGCCATTATTTGCATAGGGCTGGCAGTGAACCAAATCATTGGTGAGTTGAGGCCCGCCCCCAGAAGGCACTGACTCGTGAGCCGCGGACGCTAATCGTGCCACAATAGCGGTGGTTTACGGCGGACTCGGCGGCCACCAGGAGCTTGTCGACGGCCAACTCGCCCACACCGAGCAACTCTACGCGTACGAGAAGACCAAGTACACGTACCACGTCCTCGGAACGCTGGGTCTCTGGGTCATCAAACTGTCGGTCCTTCTCTTCTACCGCCGAATCTTCCAAGTTCGCATCTTCCGCATCGTCAACGATGTCTTCATTGGCCTCACGATCGCTTGGGGACTGGCATTCACGTTCGCCGTCGCGTTCCAATGCTGGCCCCCGCAAATGTTCTGGGAGGCTTTCGAATCCGAGTACCCTCTATACTGCGTCAATGTCAAGTCGTTCTACCTCGCGGTGGCTGTGTCCGACCTGATCCTGGATATTATGATCTTTGTCCTGCCTCTGCCGCATCTGGCGACACTGAAGATGCCATGGCGGAGAAAGTTGGCTGTTGGTGGCATTTTCTTTCTTGGTTCCATGTGAGTATTCCATGTCTCGAGCATGAATTACCCCTGCTTACAACGCGTAGCGTTGTCGCCATTGGCATTGTGCGCCTCATCATTTTCCAGTGGGTCATCGAGCTCATGGATACCGACCCTATGATCTTCGTCATGGACGCGACTTGGTACTCGGCCGGTGTGCTCTTCTGGCATTTGGCAGAGAACGTTGTCGGTCTGATCGGTTGCTGCCTGCCAACTTACAGGCCTTTCTTTAAGCGATTCTTGCCCAAGCTCCGTCTGGGTTCGTCCAACAGATCGACCCCCGCCTCCAAATTCAACTCAATGAAGAGTAAAAGCTCCGAGTACCAGCGCCAGCACGACGATGACTGGCCGCTCAGCCGCGCTGCTGGAGCATCAGGGGGGTCTTCGAGCTCTAGCACCGGTGACGAAGAGCATGCACTTGGGAACCTTCCGAGAGACGGCATCCTTGTGTCAAAGGAGTTTGGGACGGATTCTACGATTATCAATGATGGGCAACCACGGGCGCTTTGACATACTCGTACTGTACTATAGACTAGACTGCTCGGCGGCGATATTTGCTTTGTTGAATGCCATTCTGGCACCATTACAAGTCTGTGATGTAGCACTGAGTTAGGCGGTGAAACGCTGGTTTCTCTGATACCGACGGGGGGTGTCATTGTTTGAAGATGACTTGAACTTCCTTTTGTGAGGTACAAACACTGGACATATTACTACTCACCTTCCGCATCATCGTTCAGTGCCATGTCCTACAAAGTCTATTTTTATTCATCGACCTCGGCGTCCTCCAACCCGTCCGACTTGCTGTGATACTCTGCAAACAATGCCGCAGCTGTTGTTCCACTCACTAGCAAACCGCCCCAAGAGAACCACCACCCACATATATCTGGTCTCGTTCGTTTGACGGTCAAAACCATTGCCGCCTGGGTTTTAAATCAGTCATCGTGCCACTTGATCCAATGAAGAGCAACTTACTAGCCAAAGCGCATTACCGCCAACTGCTCCGATCATATAGACAGGAGAAAAGCCAGCCAAGACACCCGTGGCAGCCAGGCATCCAACCTGTGCGGCGCCAAGCGTGGATATGAAGAGGCTGGTGTTCTGATAGCGGACGGCCATACTCCTCACACCGGCCTTGATATCATCGGCGGTGTCCTGGCATGCATTCACGTAGTCGAAGATAGTCGTCCAGATATAATGTGACATGAACAGAAAGCCGGTGGCAGACGTCGTGAACGGGTCCATGCCCAGAGAGGCAGCAGCCATGAGAACGCCACCAGCAATGGGTGCGCTGAGGACAAGCTGTGGGAAGCTAGAGCGGCCATCGTTGTTAGCCCGTACGGTCAGGTCTCAGAGCTATAGTCCTTACTCTGTATGACGCTTGGCAAGGGGGTACAAGCTGACGCTCAGCTGGATGGGCACTATGGCCATATCAGTTCATCCGTTCCGTGTTCGTCAACAAGGATCTAGAACAAACCTGCGTAAGCAAGTGCAAGCATTGGACTCGGCAGGCAGGCAATAGCAGCCCCTGCGCCCACGGTCTGCGCGGCATACCACATGTAACCTTGGGTGGGGGTGACGGCTCTGCGAGCAACCGGGCGATTCCTGCACCTGGCTACCTGGCGGTCGTAGTCACGATCCAAAATATCATTCACCGTGCAGGCAGCACCGCGCAGAAATACGTTGTACACAAGTAAGACTCCTGCAATCTGTACCAGGCTCCCTTGTGTCACAATAGGTGTCACTAGACACGAACCATAGCCGAGGCCAATGAGGTAGGCCATATAAAAGCCATATAGACCACCAGGCTTCTCGATGCGAGAAAGTTCAGCATATGGAACCCATGATGATGGCAGCTTGGAAAGGACGCCTTTGGTCGGGATCATGTATGGACGATAGGGTAGGCTAGAGTCCACAGCCGAACTCGGGGGCCGACTTGGCGGCCGCGCTTCGTTACTACCGAATCGGAGAGGCTGCCTACCGGTGACAAGTGACTTCGGTAACCCGGAGCCGAGTTGGGCGGGATATCTCGTGAGTAGTTTGCTGGCCAGCATTGACGATCTGCCCAGCTGATGTGTCGTACGCAGCGGAATGAACATGTTGGCGACGATGCAGAAGCTGCACTCGGCCGAAGAAAGCAACTAATTAGAATATCACATCATTGCACTGTGGCATCCACGCAACCATATATATGCGCTTATCTGGAGAAACTCCCGGAGCCGCCAGGCAACGGACGGTGATTTGATGAATTAGTGTTCACCGACCAGGGCGTGCCTGTTTTCCGGTACACGATAGAATCCAACTGCGATACATACCCCGGCTGCCGGCGACATGTAGGCGACCGGATGTGGCGTACCGAATGCCGATACCTGCTTTTTGCGAGTTGCCAAATTAGGCAATTGGTCGCCGTGATGTCATCGACGATCGTGGCCGCTGGGCGCCGACTCTGGTCAATCCACATGACATGAATATCAAGATAAGCACAAATCCGAAGTACGCACCTTGATTATCACACGATGTAGCGAATCACCTCTTAACGCATTCACACAGCGAAGATCTTGTCCCGTAGGGGCCTGGAACTCTGTCTGGGTCCCGAGACCAACGTCACGTTCTCAATGTCGTCATCATTGTTGGAGCGAGCCAACAGTCTAGTCTGTAGGGGGCACGGGGGTGGATGATGGCAGGCATTATGATCCCTCGAGGACGTGCATTCACTGCAGTATTATGCCGTGTGCATCACTGGAAGCAACTTGCCAGCCTTGCGAGGCGAGGGGACAACTGTCAATCTGTCAAAGACCCTCGCTTGTTCGCCAGGGTTCTCCGCACCGAACCATGGCAGTGCTGTGCCGCACTGACGCAACTGAGGCCGTTCTGAATGGCTTATTCATGCCTGCCTCGTCATCAATGGAAATCATGGGATGCATTGGCGCGCGCAGCAGACAAGCGGGAGCATGAAAATTAAGGCTTGAGACGTTGGAGCCTTCCGTTTCGAAATAGTCAGTTCATCATTCCAAAGTCCACAGTCGACGTACCCAATCCGTCTCATTGATCGAGCAGCTTATACCTTTCACCAAGCGCAATTGACTAAAAAGACTAACCCTATTGGAAGATGGATTCGGCACAGAACACAGTCCTGTCCTTCCTCGGCACCAGCCGTCCCAGCTGCAAAGTACACACACCCGACTCTCCACACTACGAAGACCTACGAAAGACATACGTCAACTCGAGCGCCCGCCCCTTTGCCATTGCGCGACCCCAAAAGGCCGAGGACGTCCAATCGCTAGTTCGGGCTTGCCGCGAAAATGGTGTCGACTTCAGTATTCGAACGGGCGGACACAATTGCGTGGGCCGGGCGCTGGTCGACAACGCTTTGACGATCGATATGCGCGAAATTGACTACGTCAAGGTCAGCGAGGATAAGAAAACGGCCAGGGTAGGTGGCGGTGTGCTTCTGGGTGGATTGCTGAAGGCCTTGGGGGAGCATGGCCTGGTCACACCATCGTTTGTCTTACCAGCCTTGCTTGTTGACGTTCGAAGCATGCTGACTGTTCTGCAGAGGTTCAGTGGCCTCCGTCGGCTATGTTGGATGGAGCACACTTGGTGGTTACGGTCCTCTCTCGAGCCTTCACGGTCTCGGTGTTGATCAGATTGTGGGCGCCAAGATTGTGAATGACAAAGGCGATATTGTCGACGCCGAGGCAGACCTGCTCAAGGGCATACGGGGAGCCGGTCCGATATTCGGCCCCATCGTTGAACTCACGATCAAAGTGTACCCGCTGGATAAGGTATGGAAATGCGCCGTTGTTATATCTAGTTCAGAAGGCTGACATTGCCAAAGCTATTGGTTGGGACGCTAGTCTTTGATTCCACGGACATGCAAGCTATTTGGAGAGATCTGACTCAGGGGCTTCAAAAACTCGAATTCCCTGATCCGCTACAAGTTCAGATCTTCGCTATGGACTTCCCCGGCGCCGGTAAGGTTTTGTCTGCTATTCCGACCTGGGCCTCGGAAGATCACGATGAGGGACGTAAATGGATCGAGAAAGTGGCCAGTCTGGGCACATGTATCATGAACACGACGGATGCAAAGACGCCTGCGACGTACGCAGAGGATAACGAAAAGCTCGCGCCCTACGGCGTGTACGGACGTTCTTTCACGCTCAATGTCAGGGAGTTCACGGAGGAAACCTCCAGGGTATTGGCCGAGTACAGCGAGCAAGTTCCTAGCGGGAATTGCATGATCTCCGTCCATAGCCTCCGCCTGCCCAAAGAGAACGAGGACTCGGTGTTTGGGGCACGAGAGGTCCACCACATGGTTGAAATGGTGTCCATGGGTGTTGACCCGGCTCTGGAAGCACAGGCAACCACATGGGGCCAGGCGCTACAGAACGCACTGCGTGAGAGGGATTCGGGCAACATCCTCGACAGCGCATATATCTCGCTTCTCGACTATGACGATGCTAACGTCGAAAAGATTTACAACAAGCATCTGGACACCCTGGTCGGCTTGAAGAAGAAATATGACCCGGAGAATGTGTTTCACCATGCAGCACCGAGATTGCTAGTCCAGTAGGAGGGCTAACGGTATCTGTCAGTCCAATGCTTCGAGGATATCGGCTTTATAAAGGAGCTAAACGAATCGGATACCTTGCCCGTAGTGTTCGGTGAATAGGACAGGCGGGCCGCAGGGCATACAGGAGTGAGTGTCTGCTTACTTATGCTAATGCATTTAGTCTATGTAAGTTGGAAGTATATTGTTTCTCTTTAATTATGTCTTGAATTTATCAAGGAATGGTAGTGTCATAGGAATTAGTCGCACCGATTCTCAACGTAAGTACTTCTTCTCAATGAGACGCATCTCCTCATCTCCCTGTAGCTCAAAAATCTGCTCGACTGAAGGAATAGCCGCCTCAACAAATTTCAACCCCCTATCTTGTCGAATAGAAGCAAACACAGACCTCATTCCTCCCACTGCAGCTCGTATTCCATGATTCCCACAGATAATCAGTCCCACTTTCGAGAGAGCCGCCACCTCGTCGAACCCAAGGGAGGGATAGTTAGTGGGCACTATTACAAGTGGCACTCTCCCATCCCACGCCTTGCAGAAAGACACAATCTCGTCCGGAGTCCTCTGCTTACTGTGTACCAGAATAGCATCAGAACCTGCCTCCGCATACGCCTCAGCCCTGCGCAAGGCCTCTTGCTGCCCTAAGCCAGCAATAAGAGCTTCGGTCCTAGCGATGACGACAAGTGAACTTGTGCTCTTGGCGGCCAAGATCTTGCCCTGAAACTCCGATATGGGCACCAAGCTGTGTCTACCGTTGGACCTAAGGCTAGTGTCTTTCGGGAAGACTTTGTCTTCTAACACGACGGCAGTGGCACCGGCCGATTCGAATTGCGGAACTGAATAGGCAACATTGACCGCGTTTCCAAAGCCTGTATCAATGTCCACAATGAGGGGCAGTTTGGTCGCGGCGCTCATCGTGCGAGTGGCCTCCAAGTTTACACTCATTGGCAGAATGCTGGCGTCAGGAACTGCGTTCGCAGCGGAAATCTCGAAGCCGCTCACCCAAACAGCGGCGAAGCCTGCTTCTTCAACCAGTTTCGCGGAGAGAGCATTGTGGGACGACATGGCTATCGCCGGTTCGCATGGATTGAGAAGGCGCCGAAGCCTGTCGGCCCTGTGTTGTGTTGAGTTGGATGACATTTGATCTTGAGACGTGGTCCTCGAAAAGACTTCATAATTTTGGGCAATAGCTGAGCACGATACACCTTTTATGAGTGCGATAATACATGTACTAATCGTTTATATATTACTACAGAGACTTCAAATAACGCGTGTCGGAAGCGACCGCTAAATCTCGGATAGGGACACCCGGTGGTCGACACCGATACCGCGCGAGTCACGCAGCGGACCAGGCTCCCTTGAAACATCGGACCAGGAGATAGTAACTGGAGCATATGGGAAAACGCCAATAACCTGCCACTTCGTCGATCTTGTCATAGCTCGGAAGTGAACGTCCGAATCCGGGAGCACACGTACTATCCTTCCCGGAACTCTTCGAGGAGGACAAATAACACTGGCATTACAACCCGCGACTCCTTTACCTCTCTTGATTTTTCAATATCATAAAAGATTTAAGAAAGCCTTCTCATTGTCCTTGTTATCCCAAAAAGACTGAAAATATGTTCTTCCCAGAGAGCGTCGTCCCATTTGCGCCTGCAGACCTACACTATGGTTTACGGTCAGAATTCATGGCCGACCAGTGTCTTGAAAAAGTAAATCTGGTTATTGGCGCCTATAGAGACGACGAAGGCCAGCCATGGGTTCTTCCCACCGTGGCACAGGTAGCAACGGACAGCCCCGTCCGTGACCCGTTATCTAACACTCTAGTGATAGGCAATCCGGCTCTACCACGTCAACGGTCTTCAGAATCAAGAATATTTGCCAATCGCAGGGGAGAAGACATTCTGCAGAGCCGCGGCGCACCTGCTTTTGGGCTGTGAAAACTCCGAAATACAGAAGAGGGTGCGTGAAAAGCCTCACATCAAAGCCGTCTTGCCGTACATCACTAAAGGGACTAGACATGCTCGTTCCAAACGATATCAGGCACTGGCGCGGTCCATCTAGGTGCCGTGTTCTTGTCTAAGTTTCTTGCAGCCCCGAAACCCCTCGTGTATGTCTCAGATCCCACTTGGGACAATCACGTTCCGGTGTTCACTCATGCCGGGCTCTCCGTCAGACACTACCAATACTACTCGGCTGAAACGGGTCTGCTGAACTTTGAAGGCATGATTCAGGACCTGCGATATGCCCCTCGAGGCAGTATCATTGTCTTACAAGCATGTGCACACAACCCTACAGGCATCGACCCATCCCAGTCTCAATGGAAGCAGCTTGCTGAGACTATGAAACTGTCGGGCCACTTTGCGTTCTTCGACTCTGCCTATCAAGGATTTGCAACGGGCGATCTAGTTCAAGATAGCTTTGCTGTCCGGTATTTCTTCCAGGAGGGCATCGAGATGTTCATCGCGCAATCCTTTTCGAAGAACCTGGGGCTTTATGGTCAGCGGACAGGGTGTTTGCACTATGTGGCAAGTCCTGGATCGGAACCTTCATCAACTGTCCAGCGGGTAGCTTCCCAGCTAGCAACGCTCCAGCGCTCGGAGATATCCACGCCGCCACTTTACGGAGCTAAGATTGCTTCTCTAGTGTTGAACGACAAGACACTATCGAACGGCTGGCTGGCGGATTTGGCGATCATGTCCGACCGTATTGCGAAAATGAGGGCTGAGTTACAAAGTCGCCTAGAGGAACTGGGGACTCCAGGAGATTGGTTCCACATCACTGCTCAGATTGGCATGTTCGCTTACACTGGGCTAAGTGAGTCTGAAGTTGAGCTTTTGCGAAACAAGTGGCACATCTATATGCTCCCGAGTGGGAGAATGAGTGTCGCAGGACTAAACAGCGGGAATGTTGGTTATGTGGCCGACGCGATTCACGACGTCGTGAACAAGGTAAAGATTCACAAATAAAACAACATAGTACGGCGTGACTCAACTGAGGCAAATTTTCTGGGCGAATGAAAATCATGATATTATCCACTAACTGACTGAGGATGATCGTGAGAGAAACAAGAACATAAACCTGAAGGGCTGGCATTTAGGCATTGCTTGGCGCTTCCGATCTTCGGCACTGCGAACCCGATCCCCGACCCGATTTCGCCCTAATTTGCATCAACCTGCAAGTTTCATCACACTGCTTTGCACCTCTGTAGATACAGAAGATGTCGCCCACCAGTGCACCAGCGACCCGTGCGCGAAAAAGAATTCTGGTGGCGTGAGTATACTGTCGCGAAGCGCACGAGATCCCAACATGGGACCCTAAGTCACTGACAAACCCTGGTTCAAGGTGCCGGCTATGCAAGCAACGAAAGGTCAGATGTAGCGGCTCCCATCCTTGTTCGAATTGCACCGGAAGAGGACGCGATTGTATATATGACGAGGCGGAGAAGAAGGTGACTATCTTGGAGAGGTTGGCAAATGAAGTCCCCGCATGCTTTCAGATAGCTGATGAGTAGGAATCTCCGAGCCTTACAAGACAGAGCTACAGAGAAAGTCCCTGCGGCGGAAGATCAAAACGTCGCGCAGGCAGAGCCGAGTGTGGAAATGTGTTCACAAAACACGATTGACGAATGCCCGACTTCTCTTCTAGCGGGTCCTGACCACGCGGAATCAGCTCGACGGCCTAGCCCTGACCAGGCTCAAGCCAAATGTACGTCCTAGCCCTTAGACGGGGATTTTGCTGACTTCCTACGCAAGGCGATCATTCCTCCACTCTATGGCCCATTTTCGAGGCAGCGGCCTCTGCTGTTGGCATTGTGGGAATGTCGTACTTGCAGCCGCCCCCGGTGTTAGCCAGAGATGATGCTCACAAGGCAGTGTCTGCGAAAGGCCTGGAAAGTTTCAAGCCTTTTATCTTCCCCCAAAAGGAATTCATGGCTTATCTGATTCAGGGCGTGGACTTTCACCTCAATCATTTCCTCTCTGTCTTCGATCCAAAGACAGCTTTGGCCCAGCTTGATTCACTATCTCTGGAGCCCGTAGAAAAGGAGCTCACAACAATACAGGCCAAGATCGCTATGCTTGTCGGGTTGGGCAAACTGTTCCGCGAGAAAGGCGGACTACCCGGGGAAGTACCTGGGATGAGTGAGTTCATGGCGGCCCGGAATATGCCCTCAGATATAGAGCTGCTTCAAGAGCCATTGGACGCGGCAGAGACTCTATGCCTCCTATCCTACTACGCCGACGCGACCAAATTTCATGAACTCGCCTACATCTATGTAAGATAGGCCGCGACAGGTGCGCTATCCTGCAGCAGCTAACAGCTTCCTAGATTGGGCATGCAATAAGGCTCCTGCATGTCTTGCAGTTTGGTCACGGCGCAACCAAGCTCACTGAAAAAACTCCTGAAAGACAGTGTTGGATCTATAGCCTCTCCCAAAGTGTCGCAATCTTAAACGAGAGGCTCTGCGGGAGGCTGAGAATCCCACCCGACTTCAGCGCCCGGCCTCACTGCTCGATAAGCCCACCTGTCAACGGGGACGATCAGAGACCGGGTAACAGAGCGCTACAGGTTGGGTTGGGGCTAACAGTGATACTGAACGAGGCCTTCGAACGCTGTCGCTCTTACCTGGAAAGAGACCCGACAGGAGGATCTGGTAAAATAGGGCGTGATTGGGAGCCTACAATACCGGACTCGACCACTATCATGACCACACTGCAAACCCTTGAGCAGAACGGGCAGGAAATCAAGAATCTCACAGCAAGCACCATAAATACGGGTGTAACAGAAAGATGCGGCATTGAACTGCACCTGTGGTATTGCCATGTGAGTTAAGTCTCTCTATTCCTCGGATCTTTGATTCTGATTTGTGATTGTTCAGTCAGTTGTCCTTGTCACCTTGCCAAGTGTTATTTACATGGCAAGCCGCAGCAATGAACTCCACCGTGGAAGTCCATTTGAGCATACAAACCCTGTCGTGGGGAGGGCTTGTGCGAAATACGCATTCC